AGCAAGAGAAGGGGGCAGGAGGGGCGGCCTCACTGGAAGAAAAGTTTGGGAAACAGCCAGCAGTGATCTGGGATGTCCCTGACAAGGAGCCAGGAGCTCCCGGGGTGGAGGTAGGACAGGTATGAGGCAGGGTCCTGTGCTCTTCCTGGAGTATGTACAGCTGTCCCCAGGCTCCAGACGTCCAGGGGGTAGGCCCTGAAGCAGCTGTCAGGTGGAGCGACATGAGGGAGGAGAGGAGGCAGGGTTCAGGACGTAGGGGTGCTGCTCTCCCCAGTGGGACACAGCTGACTGGCTCTGCCTCAGGAGTCCTGCAGCCCACAGGGAACCAGGTGGTGGTTAACCCCTTCCGGCCCGCAGCCCACAGCTAGCGACCATGTGTGACGAGGAGGGGAGAGGACTAGATCACCTCCTCATGGGTGACAGCAACTCGGGCTTGGCACAGGCCAGCTTCGTGTGGGAAGGACGGTCCACCCACACCCCGCAGCTGACAGATCTCTGAGTGTCTGTGTGCTGCTGCTACCCCCCTCCCCCGCCCCCAACAGCCCCAATGGTACAGATGGGTAAACTGAGACCCACAAAGAGGCGGGGCTGCTAGGCTGGACCACCTCCCAAGCACACCCAAGGCCTCCCATCTCCCCTGGGGGCATCATGGTGGGCATGAGTCAGAAGAACTTACGTGGGTGAGAAGGCACCCAGTAAAAGTGGCATCCTGACATGAGCATGGCATCATAATCAGCTGGGAGGACACGTAGAGGCTCTGCCACCAGTTTCTACAACACACTGTGCGTAGCCTGGAAGGAGCACTGGCACTGCTCATCAAGGCCCCAACCAACTCCAAGGCCAAGAGAAGATGACAACCCAAGTCATGTTCAAGACCTTCGCCTTTGCTGCCACGTAGGTGGCCATCCAAGCCTGTGCTGTTGCTGCATGCCTCAGGCTGTGCACCAGTCCCACCCCAATCCTGCTGTGACCCCACATCCAGGCCCCTCTGCCTTTTGGTTCCCCAGCTTAGACTCACAATTCCAAACCCGAGGATGAGCACCCCATTCCTTCTCACTGTTCTGGATACCCCATCTCATAACCAGGCACCCAGAGAGGCCTAAGGCCCTGCACCTGAGGGCCCCATCCTTGGACCCCCACATCCCTTCCCACTCCCTGTATCCAACATTCAGGACATAGGCTGCCCAGGAGGGCAGGCCACTTCCTTGTTCCCCTTCCCTGAAGCCCCTGTGGAACCCACTCTCCAGGCATCATGCTGGACTCAGGGACGGCAGCACTCACAATGTGCCCATCTGAGGGCTATGTGCTGCCCCTCACCACCCTGCACCTGGACCTGGCGGGCCGGGTCCTCATGAAGGTTTTCACTGCGCTTGGCTACTTCTTCATCACCATTGGTGAGGGGTGGGGTGGATGAGCCACCCCCAGGGCCCACTCCCTGCAACAGTGCCCTCCTGTGCCGGGGCAGGACCACACCTTGGCACAGGGCCTGATGTACCAGTCTTTCTTCTGGGGTGGGGCTAACAGTCCATGGGGGCAGGGGGAGCAGGGCCCAATCCCCCAGGGCAGCTGCAGCCAGCTCCAGTTCTGCTCCCTCTCCTTGGCTCTGGGCTGTGGCCCCCCGCCCCATCCAATTTGAGGCTCCAGGCCCTTCTCAGCCTGGTCCCCTTCCTTCAGGGCCTCCTCCATCCAACCTTGGGGTGGCCTACACTGAGCACAGTGCAGTGTGATCTCACCTCAGCCCCAGGAGGGACAGCCCTTCCCTGCTAGCCCGTAGCAAATTCACGTAATTAAGATCTCAAAGCAGGGCCGGCCGAGTGGCACGATGGTTAAGAGCTGGCTTGGGACGCCAGAGGGCCCCGGTTCGGATCCCACATATGAGGGCCAGTGACACTGCCCTCTACAGCTAAGATGCCGAACAA